GACAGACGAGACTTCTGCGTTCCCCTGGAAAAATGTTCCAGTGCGCGCTGGGTAAGCGGTCAGTGGTCCTCCCTCTTGTACCCTGCCCGCTAGGGCGAAGGGGCTGCGTTCCAGCAGACCACTTATCCGAGTCACAGAGGCACCATAAAATGTAGCACCCTGCTTGTGGTTAACGCTTAGCTGGAATGAAATATTCAACGCAGCAATAGAGAAATTAAAATAATAATTTATTTGTCAGACAAATAAATGAGAGACACAGTGGTATATGGATACCAAAGCTCTGCCTACTCCAGCCCTGATGGCCAGCACTTATATTTCCTCAGCCCAGCCCCCTTGCTCCTCCTTTGGCTGCCTCTGTCCAATCATCCTGGTTGAAATTCCTATTGGTTGTTTGCTAGAACCAATCATAAAAGATACACCCATTTCCTATTCCCTTTTATGGGAGACAAAAGCTATATTTCCTTGTATCCATAAATGGCAGACAAGTAGCCATATATCTTACATTTACCTCGACCAGGCACCTCAATTACCAGATAACCTTTGGCCCCTGTTGCCCTATTCACCGCAAACCAGATGGCTAAAGCAGATGGTGCATGGTTTCTAATTTTTTTATCTTAAAGAGATCTTGAGTTCACCTTCTCACCCACCATAATAGGAATCTAACATAAGAATCTAACATTTCTTACTTTCTAAATCCTTTGCATAATCACATTTAAGCCAATATATTTCATACATAACATAGATAGATTTTTAGAAGGAAAGGCCTTTTCAAATTAAAGGAATTTAGTAAAAGCTAAGTTCCTAAGTTCTATAAAGAAACCTTTTCCCCTAACCAGCTGCTGTTCCTCTTGCAATTTAACCTTTAACCTTATGGCTCGAGTCTTCTGTTAAACAATAAATTTCACTATTTACCAGTTCTTAATTGTGTTTTTACAGCTTGATTGTATTCTGGTCAGTGTGACCTTTTGCTCTCTGGCTCTAATTTCCTTTTACAACCTTGAAATACTTTTTACAACCCTGAAATACTGCTATTTATAGCAGTGGGGCCCCTTGAACAGCTGTCAGAGTATTCAAGCTGGTCTTCTCCCTGGCAGAGAAAAATATATTTACAAATGTAATTTTTTTAAGCTCAAAGCAGATTTTGATCAGATGCCTCACTTTATTGTCTTGATATGTGACCTCTTTGTGCGTGAACATGGTAGTGACCAGGAAGTGTCAAGGACTCAAGGTCAACCCCTGGTTATGGCCACCTTAATCTATGTGGTCAGCATGACTAAGCCGCTTCTGGTGAACTAGAGCAGCGCACGGAAACACCGTTTACCTTCCCGCTGGAGTGGTACCTATTTATCTACTTGCACTTTGAAGTGCTTTCGAATTGCTAGGTTGGCAGGAGCAGGGACCGGGCAACGGGAGCTCACCCCGTCGCGGGGATTCGAACCGCCGACCTTCTGATCGGCAAGTCCTAGGCTCTGTGGTTTAACCCACAGCACCACCCACGTCCTTAGTCTTAGAAGACACCTAAAAGCACCCCCCCAATTGTCTTTGTTTTCTGGAGGAATAATCACAGAAGGAATGTTTCCTTTCAGCCTCTGGAGGGTCCTTCTGTAGCGCTTTTGTATAGTGCTACTCCATCCCAATTTGCAGTGGAGATGAATGAAGAACTGACTCACGTTGTGTGCTTGTCCTTCTGTTGCTGGCTAAGCCTTCACATTTCCCCTGCAATTCCAAGGGATCCTTCTGTCTCCAAGTAGCCAATTACTCCTGGACAGCAGGCAAAAGCACAGTGTGTGCCACCCATGTATGCCATGTACGCATTTTGCTTCCATCACCTATTTACGGCACTAACCACATGCCATATGTTTTCCTTAGGATAGATTAGGAGAAGGGGACGTATTAAAGAGTCAGGAAGGCCATAGTGTATCTTAGATGCCTTTTTTCCTGCCACAATCCACCTTCTCTTTGTGTACTGAGCAATGCTTAATGCAAAATTTCTGCTTTGTAAATACACTTTAGCTATACTTACTTTATTTATTGCACAGGGAACATAATGGAGTGATAAAGCTATAATATATTAAGTTAAAGGACTAAGACAAAAACAAAGAGGGAAAGGAATTGCTGAATTAACCAATTGAACCGGAATACAAAAAAGGGAGGCGAGAGGAGGTCAGGAAAGCAAGGAAATGAAATGTAAGATACGAAAGGATAAATTTGTTTCTAAGTGTTCTTTCTATATATTTTTTTATATATACTTTGCATTTTGTATGTTTTTTCTCTTTTCCCCCCTATATTTTTCATTGTCTTTTATGTAATTTTTTGTTTTTGAAATCTCAATAAATATCATTTAAAAAAAAAAAAGATAAAGGAGTGGTTCAGACACTTAACTGTGAGCCTTCTTTTTTTTGGGAGGGGTTTACGGCCACACACACACACACACACACACATTAACTTCCTGCCATACGGACATGTGCAGTGCATGTCTACGTTCATTTAGTTATTATTTGCCCTCACAAGACAGTTTACAAAACAAAATACTTAAAACTAATACTGTATTGTTGTTATTGTTAAATAATGCTGTTATCCATGAAAGTGCACCAGATTATTTTTTTTAATAGTGAACCAGACACAGAATCTTCCTCCCTTCTTTCCTTCTTTTTAAAAAGGCTTGATGGGAGGAAAGAAAGTTTCCAGGATCCATCTAAAAACTGCCAGACAGAGGGCTAAACAAACCTCTGAGAGGAAGAATTCCAGAGATTGAGGGTCCACCACTGAAAAGGCCTTGCCTCTGGTATTTCCTTAATGGCAGACAGGGATGTTGGAGAATTCTGAGGGAACTGGGAGCAGAAAATGTTGACGTTCGCTTATTCACCCTGTGTCTCAATTGTACTTCGAAGCGGAATGTGTAATATGCCTGCTTTCATGGCAAGGCCATAAACCACTCAAACTGCTGTAGCTGAACATAACCTATCTTGGTCTGCACCATTGTGAAAGTAAGGACATGGGGCTTCTTCTGATGGTGAAAAGCTATCCCTCAAAGTGTTGTGCGGGCAGATGACTCTCTGCCAGAAAGTGACAAAGTCACAGCCACTGGGGGTTAGTGTTCATGCAAGGAAAATCCTGCTCCCCCAAACACCTGTTTTTTCCCCTCTGCTGGGAATAAGTGGTGCTGGAGAACAGGAAAGGCTCAGTCAGGCCCCTGAAGCACAGCAATACCCTTGCGGAAATGGGGTTTGGACAGGAGAGGTTTAATGGAGCCAGACGTACGGCTAGAGAGAGACTCCCTTAACAGAAGTTGCCGGGCAAGTTTGTCTGTTAAGAGAAATTACAGGTAAGTGGCTTGGGAAGGCTAAGAGATGGTTGAGGAAGATAACTCATCCTTGCTGTTCCCACTCTTACCAGCTAGAGGGAAGGGGCGAGTTAGGAGTGTGAGCATCTGTCAAAGGAAACAAAGAGAGACAGAGTGCAGAGTTGGGTGGTGGGCTCTGTAAGTTAACACTGCCAGGGGGTGCCACTCTCTAGACATCTGATATGGGGAAATGGGCTCTTCACTGGAGTTTTAAAATTGAATGTTTTCACCTACGCTCAGTCCTTTTGTTTGCAAATGAATTCAGAGGGAGGAATTCAGTGCTACACCAGCACAAGTATTTTTGCTGAACTCTCTCTGCTGTCCTCCCCCAGCACTGTTCTCCCAACTTCCCAGAGCCAATTTGAGAGGTGGGGAGCACAAAAATTATAGTAAAGGCAATGATGACTATAATCATTGCGTATTCTAATTTTTCTGAAGAAAGAGCAAGTCTAATGTCATGTTAAACTTTCTGTGCACCAAGGTATTTATGGCTCTGCAGAGACACAAAATCGGCTTCCAATGACACACTTGGCTGACAGGCATGGGCCAGGAAGTGTGTCAAGTGTGCTAAGAGTGTAAAAAAAGAAAGAACAAGGGAGATACAATTAGAGAGTTATGGACTTCTGTCTGTATGTTATAGCTAACCAGTGTAAGCTAGAAAATGCAATCTCAGACCATTGTCGATTATTCTGTACAGTATTTGTTTTCCCATTTACATATTTGAGGCTTCCCCCTTACTTCTTCTCCTCTCTTGTTGCTGTTTAGTCGTTTAGTCGTGTCCGACTCTTCGTGACCCCATGGACCAGAGCACGCCAGGCACTCCTGTCTTCCACTGCCTCCCACAGTTTGGTCAAACTCATGCTGGTAGCTTCGAGAACACTGTCCAACCATCTCGTCCTCTGTCATCCCCTTCTCCTTGTGCCCTCCATCTTTCCCAACACCAGGGTCTTTTCCAGGAGTCTTCTCTTCTCATGAGGTGGCCAAAGTATTGGAGCCTCAGCTTCAGGATCTGTCCTTCCAGTGAGCACTCAGGGCTGATTTCCTTCAGAATGGATAGGTTTGATCTTCTTGCAGTCCATGGGACTCTCAAGAGTCTCCTCCAACGCCATAATTCAAAAGCATCAATTATTTGGCAATCAGCCTTCTTTATGGTCCAGCTCTAGTCTTCTCCTCTCTAGACAGCCTTAATCACCCTGTGATTCCCAGTTCAAAGACTTTGTATAATGCCTTCTGCAGCCGAGGGGACATGGAGTATTGCTTCCTGGGAAATTAAGTTGATCCAACTCAGAAATGCTAGGCGTTAGGTTTTGTTGATTCTGAAACTCGTTGGTAATCCTACTGCTGTATGGGAGTTCTGAGAACAGCTCTCCTTCCCTCCCGGCGGCATTTCCTACAGAAGCACAAGTTGCTGTTGGTAATCATATGTAACTACGCAATCATTTGTACTTAGGAGCAATGGTTTTACACAGCTACATAATGGCTATTAGGAGAAGCAAAGCATGCAATTGGCCTTTAACTGAGAAAGATATGCTTGGTTGGTTTTTTTTTAACATGTTGCCTTTGCTTGTGGTCTGGATAATCCAGGCAAAATCTCATTTGGCAATGCCTTATTTCTCATATGAAACCTACCCATCAAGAGGCAAATCTTGTGATTGCACACACATTTTCTTTGAGTCAACAGGGTTGTCTTCGTTGAGGTCTTTAGGAAGCCAGCATGGTTGAGCCAGTATCTGCAGTTTTGGGAGGTGCAGCCGGCTTGGGTCTCTTAAAGCCAACATGGTGGGCGTTCCAGTAATTGCAGCTTTGGGAGGTGCAGCCGGCTTGGCAGTGGCCACGACTGCTGTACCAGTAGCACTGGGAGCAGCAGGCTTCACTGGAGCTGGAATTGCAGCTGGCTCTCTGGCTGCAAAAATGATGTCGGCAGCGGCCATCGCCAATGGTGGAGGAGTAGCAGCTGGGAGCGCTGTTGCCGCGCTTCAGTCAGTCGGTGCTGCTGGGCTGTCCACTGCTACCACAGCTGCAGTGACAGCTGGTGGAGCACTGCTGGCTGCCATCTTCCCTTAAGAAGAAGACACACATACGCAGAGGCCATATCTACTTGGAAAGCAGTACTTGGAAGATTATGCTTTGCCGTCAACGGCATAAATTACCTTAAGCAAAATGTGATTTTAATCAATGCTACGTTATTCCTACTGGCCAAGATATGCAACAACAAATAAAGCTTTGAGAATTTAAAAAAGAAGAAGAAAAGAGGCAAATCTTGTCTTTTGAGAGTCCTTCATTGATTTTGGCATTGTATATTTTCCACGGAAAACAGGAAGTAACTCAGGAAGTTGGGTGCTCATTCCCATATTACCAAACCATGGTGTTATAAGAAAATATTGCTTCTTTTCCCTTATGGAGTATCCAAGAGCCCGTATAGAGTCCTTAAGTAGGTCCCCTATTGGAAGGAGAAAATAACAGAGGCCAACCAGAGAATATTGAGAAGCAAGGCAGCTAGTAAGCCTGATCTTCATTAACTCTTGCAGCAGGGTCCTCACTCACCACATGCAGGAGGGAGGAGGAACCCAGAACTATGGTGTGCAAGCCCTTATATAGACCTTTGAAATTGCCCGCCCTGTAGCTCAAGACCACCCCGCAAAACATCATACATACATCACAGAAGAAGGCGGACTACAGCAGAAATATATCACAGGGGGTGGTCTACAACAGAAATCCTGTCTGGCAGGATACTGATAATGGCCACATGATTGCTTTACAGCCTGGCCATTCCTTTTGAGATGCTAAATACTTAGTTCCTGAATCCAGGTCACAGGCTCACCCTATTCATACACAAATATGCCCTAAAGACAGGATTTGTAAGCAAACAGACAATGGGAAGGCTTTCCCCATTTCCTTCCTTACTGCAGAGGAATATTTGAGGTCACTGGGGGAGTCAAAATGGTTTCAGGATTGCTCTCCTGTACTATGTCAGCTACGGGGTTTATATACTTATGTATGTGTTTGCCTTGTAAATTTATGACCATCATATATATATATATATGACCTTAGAATTCCTATAACAATGGTTTAATGTTGAATTTAAATTATCAACAACCAAGCAGTTTTTATGTGGTCTCAGAGGATCTGTTTCCTGTTTAGATTGGAAGATGAAATGTAGGGGCATGCTATAAAAAAATAATTTCTAGTTGGCGTGTTTTACCCTGCCCGGTATGTAAAAATTATTTGTCCCCCTGTGAAAGCTGGATATATTTTACTGCCACTTTTGCCAGGTGAGAGTAGAACTTTGATTAAATTTTCATGGACGAGTGAGTGAGTGAGTGTTCATCTCTTACTCTTACTTAGAATAGTGTAAGTTAATGTTTAAGATTATTAAATGTTCATTAAACAATCAACAGCTTCCTGGAATGGCTGTTTGTGGATGGAAGGTGCCCCCAGTGGTTGGGGCAACCCAGTCAGAAGGGTGGGGTACAAATATAATAATAATAATAATAATAATAATAATAATAATAATAATGTCATACCTTGGATCTCGAAAGCTTTAGCTCCCGAACAAAATCGGCTCCTGAACAATTGAAACCTGGAAGTGAGTGTTCTGGTTTGGAAGCTGAATGTCTGTCACGGCTTCCGCAGCTTCCGATTGGCTGCAGGATACTCCTGCAGCTAATCAGAAGCCGCACTTTGGTTTCTGAACATTTTGGAAGTAGAACAGACTTCTGGAACGGATTCAGTTCGACTTCCAAGATAAGACTGTAACAATAACAACAACAACAACAATATACTAGCCTCCCAGAAGACCATCTTTAGAGCACTGAAGAACTCAGTTTGATTTTTTTTTTTTAAAGCAGAGCAGCATAATATTTTATTAAAAATTAAATGAAGCTTTTCACTAATAAAATAAAATAAAATAAAAATCCTGGTTACCCAGAAGGTTACCCATGTGAAAATGTTGCCCTTGGGCTGTTAAAGCATGCCTTGCTATAGAAAATAAGTGAGTTTAGATTGCCATCTCAAGACATGATCCAAATAGCTCCAGACCCTCCAGGGCCTTCATATTGTCTTCTGCCCAAAGAAATGCACCATCTGTTCCAGAAGATAAGTACAGAAACAAAAGAAGCTGGCCTATATCAAGTGTTCTCTACTCTGACTGCCAGCAGCTCTCCAGGGTTTCAGCTCCCTGGAGATGCCCAGGGATTGCACCCAAGTCCTTCTGCATGCCAAGCACCTTCTCTGCCTTCCCCAGCACAGTTCTCTGTGCACAGAATCTTTGCCTGTGTTAAGCTCATCCTCTCCCAACATTTCTCTGGCGAAAACAGGGACGTCCCAAAAGCTTTCAGTGGTGTATTAGACAGCTGAATCACAGCATTAAGCTGTGATAGAGTGGGCGGAAGATTAAGAGTCTTTAAATATTTGAATTAAGTTTTCAAATACTGCTCTATGGCGAGGGATAGATACACATGGCAGACAATGACAACACATTCTTGCAGATCGTTCTGACGCAGGGAGAAAAGCTGCTCCCAGATTCACAAAGAGAGTTCCCATGCTTTTCTGCTTAGTTTGTCTTCATCTTAGTCATGCTACAGGTTTATCCGGACTCGATAATATTTCTGTGGTCTTTTTTTTTTACTATCTTTGTAATTACTATGTAAATTACAGACTACGCTTGGATGTTTGAAGTGAGGCATTACAGATAATTTCTGGGATGCAGGTCCAGTTTCTATGGCAATCTGAATAATTATGAATTAATTGCTGGCTGCTGTCACGGCGCTTGGCGGTAATTCCAAGTTGATAATATTGTTAACCTACAGGGTTATGCTTTATTCATGTCTTCGGTACCTATCAACATGCTCTCTAGGATTCTTCGGGAATCTTTTAATTGGGATGTTTAAAAAAAGATAGTGAAATTATCCCAAAAAAGCAACAAGCAGCCAGCTGGCATGTACTGTAGATTGTTTTCTCTAGGCCAGATGTAAGTTTGCTGAAGGCACGTGAAGCCTTTCTGGAGTAACAGAGGCTACATTCACACTATACATTTAAAGACCCTCCAAATGTCCCTATTTTCCAGGGACAGTCCCGGATTTCCAAAAGCAGTCCCGGTTTCTCATTTGAACCCGGAATGTCCTGCTTTTTTCCTTAGGGACGTCCCTATTTTCATTGGAGATATGTTGGAGGGTATGGAGTTATGCGACCCCCGAGCCAAGGAGATCAGTAACTATGCAACCTTTATAAGACATCTGAAGGCAGCCCTGTATAAGGAAGTTTTTCAGTGTTTAATGTTTTATTATGTTTTTATATACAGTGGTACCTCAGGTTATGGGACGTGGGTGGCGCTGTGGGTTAAACCACAGAGCCTAGGACTTGCCAATCAGAAGGTCGGCAGTTCAAATCCCTGCGACGGGGTGGGCTCCCATTGCTCGGTCCCTGCTCCTGCCAACCTAGCAGTTCGAAAGCATGTCAAAGTGCAAGTAGATAAATAGATACCGCTCCAGCAGGAAGGTAAACGGCATTTCCGTGCGCTGCTCTGGTTTGCCAGAAGTGGCTTAGTCATGCTGGCCACATGACCCAGAAGCTGTACGCCAGCTCCCTTGGCCAATAAAGCGAGATGAGCACCGCAGAGACCTCTGGGAAGAGCCATTGCTCTTGAGATTGATGCAGACATAGACTTTTAGGGGTGTGCAGATAATTGACTTTTAGGGGTGATAGTTTAGAACTGGTGGAGTTGTTCCTTCCCACTCCACAACAGCAAATCCACAAGGGACCCCTGTCATGATCTAGAATTCTTTCATGAAGCGAACCTCCTAGGAAAATTTATGGTCCAGACGTGCATCTTAATCCAGGAGAGACATAATAAAAAATATTACTATCCATAATTTACAGAGCATTTAGCATGCAATGTGTGTTCGTTCTTATCTTCACAGGATTCCCATGTGACAGGTTAATTTCTCCCTCTATTGTACAAATAAGGAACTGGGGCTGTGAGCTCAGGCCTTAAGCCTGTAGGTTAGCTGGAATCTGAACTCAGATTTTGGAGATTAAAACTGTCTGTTTACATGCAGCAGGCTCATATGGGGCAGGTTTTCTTACCATTCAGAATGCAGGTGGTTGTTGTTTTTTCATATTTAAATCATATTTCATATTTCAATATTTCTCTTGACACCTATCTCTGCATACAGAAAATGAATTAACCAGGGAGGTTAAGTTAGACTAGAGTCTACACAAAGGGTATTTTTGGGGAAAGGGATTAGAAAAAAAGATGCCGTCTCCCTTGTGATTTTGGTTTTTGTGTAGATTGCAGACTGTTTTTGTGTAGATTGGCACCTGTTGACTAGTCATGTCACTCTAAGAAACTGAAAATAAAATTAAATTTGGGTGCTTGGATTGCTCTTTCTCATGATCTCCTGAGCCCACCATTTTTGGTCAGCCCAGAGTGGCTTTTCCTTGCACTGCTGTGGGCTCATAATGTCATATTTTGGACTCACAGCTGTCCATGGAGGTGCAGGTTAATTCTGTGTCCAGGGCAGCTGTCGACCAGCTCCACCTGGTACGCAGGCTGAGATCCTACCTGCCCACAGACTGTTTCACCAGAGTGCTGCATGCTCTAGTTATCTCCTGCTTGGACTACTGCAATGTGCTCTACTTGGGGCTACCTTTGAAGGTGACCAGGAAACTACAGCTAATCCAGAACACGGCAGCCAGACTGCTGACTGGGAGTGGCCGCCGAGACCATATAACACTGGTCCTGAAAGATCTTCCTTGGCTCCCAGTACGTTTCCGAGCACAATTCAAAGTGTTGGTGCTGACCTTTAAAGCCCTAAACTGCCTCGGCCCCTATACCTGAAGGAGCATCTCCACCCCCATCATCTAGCCCGGATACTAAGATCCAGTGCTGAGGGCTTTCTGGCAGTTCCCTCCCTGCGAGAAGTGAGGTTACAGGGAACCAGGCAGAGGGACTTCTTGGTAGTGGTGCCTGCCCTGTGGAACACCCTCCCAGCAGATGTCAAGGCAATAAAAAACTATTTTACTTTTAAAAGACAACTGAAGGCTGTTTAGGGAAGTCTGATGTCTGATGCTGTATTAGTTTTAATATTCAGTTGGAAGCCACCCAGAGTGGCTGGGGAAACCCAGCCAGATAGGTGGGCTTTAAATAATATAGTTTATTATTATTATTATTATTTATTTATTATTATATTTAAGAGACTACCTCCTTCTCAGGTGTTAAGATAAGGAGAGGGGTCTGTCTCTTGGTAGTTCCACCTCCCTCAGAAGTTTGTTTTTTGGGGGGGTGGGTTGGGGAGAGGGTGCTGGCCCTGGAGAAGGGATTCTCAGTGGCAGCCCTTAAATTGTAGAATTTCCTCCCTTCAGAGATGTGTCTGGCTTCTTTGGTACATCTTCGACGGAAACAAAAATTAGAATGGGACCACAAGGGTCATCTAGTCCAACCCCCTGCAATGCCAGAGTCTTTTCCCAATGTGGGACTTGAACTCAGAACCCTGAGATTAAGGGTCTCATGCTCTATTGGCTGAACTATCCCAGAGTTCCTGAAGACACAGCTCTTTACCTTGGGCACCTGGGACGTGTGTTTTCAGGACCAACCCTATCTCTGTGACTGTAATCTGTTTTAGCTGCGTTTAGTTCCAAGTGTTAAATCACAGTAACCTGCCCCAGGGACATGCTGGTGAAAGGCGGGCGATAAATTACATACAACTACTGTACCTAAGTGCTGTTTCTGGCTTTGCACTGAGCAGCTGATTTTCTGGGCCTAGTTCAGGAAACGTGCTTATTATCGATTCGACAGAGGTGTTTTTATGACTGTGGCAGTGCGGGGCAAAGTTAACCAAAAGTTAACCCAGCAGTACAGAGGACAGCTCCCTGTTTGAAAGGTTGTTCTACCCAAGTCCACTTTATAGACAGTGGACCATAAGAAGACAAAGAAGACTCTTGAACTGACTATTAACACTTTGCACTTGAGCAGGAACACCAGACACCTGGTCACCAGGTCTTCCCTGGTATGGTGAGATGAGGAGGAGGATAATAATAATAATAATAATAATAATAATGTTGTTATTTATGCCCCACCCATCTGGCTGGGTTGCCCCAGCCACTCTGGGCGGCTTACAGTACATATAAAACATATTAAAACACCAGACATAAAAAGCTCCGGATCATAGCTGTCAACTTTTTCCTTTTCTTGTGAGGAATCCTATTCGGAATAAGGGAATTTCCCTTAAAAAAAGGGAAACGTTGACAGCTATGCCCCGGATACAGAGCTGCCTTCAGGTGTCAAGGGAGGGGAGAAAAAGGCCATCTGCTTCTATTCTGTTAGTTCTGTGTTAAAGTAGTAGTGCTGCTAATAATAATAATAATAATAATAATAATAATAATAATAAATTAGGAAGCTCTGCTCTTCTAGGTAACCTTTGTTGGGATCTGTCTGTCTCTATTCAAATTACAGCCACGATTTCTGAATTTGGAGGTTTCCATCACATTTTGGTCTGGCGTGCATAAAAGCAAGTTGCGAAACTTATCAAATGCCAAAAAGTTAACAAGTGTCATAATTTGAGGCCCCCTTTGAGCCTGAGGCACCAGGCCAAATGGCGTTTCTGGCAGCAATCAATCAATCAATCAATCAATCAATCAATCAGTAGTATGCGCCCCTATACCCACAGGTCTCAGGGTGGATCACAATATAAAAACACAAAATACATAATATAAACATGTCAATCAGCCCAAGGCCTGGTTAAAGAGGAATGTTTTTGCCTGGCGCCTAACGGTGTATTATATTTCGATAATTTGCATCTTGTTTATCCAATCCTGGTTCTTTTATGCCTCATTCTTAGGTTTTTTATTTAGTATTGATATTATTGTTTTGTTATGGGGGTTGTGATGGCCAAACAGTTTCTTAATTAAATTTTAAAATTCTCTCTGTGCTCTGAGGTAAAAAGCGCCAGGCAGACCAACATAAGTTTCCAAGTAAAAGCAGTCATGATTACTGGGTATGGCAGCCATTCTCTCTCCTTCTATTCAGCGATAATATTCTATGTGTTGTAAGTTTTCTCTTCCTTTCTGTTGGAATTGCTATATAGATACCCCCCTTTTCATTTTTATTAAAGGTTGTTGTTGCTTTTTTAATGGCAAATGGGGGCACAGCTGGGGGCTGCTGCCCTACTTGCCAAGTGTAGGATAGTACTTTAGCTGCCGTAGCACAAAACACACACACTGATTTTGCTTGTATGTTTGCTACAGCAGAACAAATTGATAAATAGCATGAGGTTGTTAGTGGATATTTATTTCTCTTTCACTCTTGCCATTAGAAATGAGTTTATTGTATAAAAACATTGTGGAGCTTGGGAAGTTCATTCTAAAAAGGAACTAGTTCTAGTTCAACTTCGACACGTCCCCAAAGGAACTAAACCAAGTTCAGATTTGTCCCTTTGCAAAATGAACTAGTTTGCTTCAGGTTCAGCTCACAGTTCAATTCAAGTTCATCCAAAGGATCCTCGGTTCAATTTCCTTGACAGGATTTAGAATATTACCAGCAGCTGTGCTGAAGTATAAAACATACTTAGTCTTAATATTATTAGCAGCACTACTACTTTAACTCGAAGAAAACACACTGTGGGATGTGAATTGTTTAATTTGTTTTCCGCAACGGTTATGATATTTAAGTTTGAAGGCCCATATTGTTTAAATCCTTGAAATGTAACATGTAAGAAAATAGCCCTGAAGAAAAGCTAGAAGTTGTTCAAATTTCTACAGCAAAACCAGTTTGATTCATGTTCAGTTCAATTATGGGAACCTCTTTCAGGTGTAAGGATTTTTGAACTTCTTCGGTGAACTTTCTTTGAACCAAGCTACTTCTTTCCAAACACTGAGGGAATTGACATTATTTTACCTTTTAGGCAGCTTTCTGCCACATCCTTTATTGGAATCTGCATGATGAAAACAGGTGTCTGAAAGGTTGTAGCAACGTGTCCCGTCCTCCACAAAAAAACACCAATGTGGAGAGTCCTAAAGAGAAGAACACATTTGTGTGCTTTTTTTGGTCACTGTTGTGTACTTTTTAACACCCTTCTTCTCACACTGCATGCTATGTTAAATACACATAAGTCACACACAAGGTGTGGGAAACTCATTTGATTTTGAAAGAACAGCAACTCAGACTAGATCAGGCTCCTAATGCCAATTTCTTGCTGAAAATAGCTCCCCCCCCCATTACCTGGCTTCTGTTTACCCCGAACAGCCTTTTTTTCTTGCAAACAGCATTTTTGAGGGCAAAATAAATAACAAGAGGCAAGCATGGGGAAGGGTTTCTTGACAGAAAACCTGGTCTAGAAGGAGAGGGAGACACAGAGGCCTCAACTGTCTTCTCTCCACTAATGAGTAATGCTTTCTATGGCCATAGCACCCTCTGCCACGTGCTACTTTTATTGGGCCTCCTCGCTAGGGCTGGGTGATATATTGATATATCGCCCAAAACCGGTTTGAAGTCCATATCATGATATTGATTTTATAAATTTTGACCTGGCAGTATATCACAAATCATAGTGTGTGTGTGTGTGTGCTATGCAAAAATCACAATGTGGAGAAAAACCGTGAAGCTAGCCCTAACCCATCCTTATTTCAGACATAGTGATATGTCGGAATATCGCGATTTTTCGCTGGTCATCTATATCGCAACGTTGAAAACCAGATATCGCCCAGCCCTACTGCTCGCCTCTACGTAGCTCCATCTTTACTTCAGACGTTGTAATACATCAATGTACAGTGGTGCCCCGCAAGACGAATGCCTCGCAAGACGGAAAACCCGCTAGACGAAAGGGTTTTCCGTTTTGGAGGTGCTTCGCAAAACGAATTTCCTATGTGCTTGCTTCGCAAGACGAAAATGTCTTGCGAGTTCCTGTGGGGTTTTTCCCCTCCCCCCCCTTTTTCCCAAGCCGCTAAACCGCTTATCAGCTGATCGGCTAAGCCGCTTATCAGCTGATCGTTAAGCCGCTTATCAGCTGATCGCTAAGCCGCTTAACAGCTGATCGCTAAGCCGCTTATCAGCTGATCCGCTAAGCCCGCTAAGCCGCTAATACTGTAGCGCTAATCCGCTAAACCGCTAATGGGCTTGCTTCGCAAGACGAAAAAACCCGCAAGACGAAGAGACTCGCGGAACGGATTCTTTTCGTCTTGCGAGGCACCACTGTATCACGATATTAAGCTTGTGATATATTGTGATGTTGTAAAATCTTCAATCTAAGGCTCCCTCCAGTTTGGTTTTTATTGTTAGAGGTGTATTCTGCAGCATATCATTGACTCAAAAATAATGCATTGGTGGGGGACACTTTCTGCTTTAATTGTTGTTTTGCATTACTTCCCCTGCATTACTGCAGTATTGTTGTTGGTTTCAGGGCGGTTCACAACATAAAATCACAATATAAAAACACAAAATGCATAATATAAACATGTCAATCAGCCCAAGGCCTGGTTAACCCACACCCACCCACAGTGTGGAACATTTGTGGTATGAAATTTTCAGCGGGGAACAAAGCAAGCCTGTCCACTTTTGCAGGCGGAAACAGTATCGAAAGCAAGTTCACGAATAACTGCTCTGAGATCACCTGGAGAACAAATCATGATAAAGGCACAATAAAACGAATGTCCGGAGGGACCCTAAAACCACTTCTGTAGCTACACGAGCAACCCACCTGCCAAGTAACACCAATCAAGAACCAAAAGGGCCCCCTTAGGGCTACTGGAGGGGTGGTCCTGCCAGCAGCCATCACAATTTCCAAGTTGGCATTGCTGTTAAGCCCTTGCCCCCAGGAAACCGACGCAAGCTGATGTAAGCAGGAGGCAGCTAGTGGAAATTGCTGTGTCAAACCTGGTCCCCTCTAGGAGGCCAGACTCCCGTGGAGAAGGAAGCACAGGTGTAAGGCAGGCAAGCGGCAGATGGCCCAGCATGCACTGGGCAGGTGGTCTGACGGTCTCCATCTCTGACTTGAGCGTGCGTGTTCTGGACTCTCTCTTATTCCATTCAAAGCCTCTTCGCTCAGAATTCATTTGGAGCACTGCCTGCCTGCATGTGTATGTGTGTGAAACAGACATATGGTAAAACGGAATGGGTGTGAGTACCTGTGGAATTTTAAGGGAGCGGCTTATATCCAGGTATTTTAATAATAATAATAATAATAATTTATTATTTATACCCTGCCTATCTGGCTGAGTTTCCCCAGCCACTCTGGGCGGCTCCCAATCGAGTGTTAAAAACAATACAGCATTAAATATTAAAAACTTCCTTAAACAGGGCTGCCGACAGATGTCTTTTAAAGAAAGTATAGCTGCTTATTTCCTTCACATCTGAAGGGAGGACGTTCCACAGGGCGGGTGCCACTACTGAGAAGGCCCTCTGTCTTTTTTTCTCCTCCCCCCCCTTGAATTTTAACGGTGTGGCTTATATTTGGGCCAATACGATAGCTTTAAGTGGGCGAGGGGGGACTTCTATCAAGGCCAGTGGAACCTTTTTTCCTAATTCCTAATTCCATTAGCCAC